AAATGCTTTACCATCCACTAAATGTACATCATCTGCCAGAATCTGTCTTTTAATACTGAAATGACCACCAAAGTAGCACCATCGTATTATTGAGAGAGTGAGCATTACATATTAATGCATACCAGAATTTGTAGACGCCATCGGAAGAAGCAAACAGTTTACTTATGATGCATGTAGAATTTTATGTATACCGAGCATAGATCACGACCTTTGCTTTATCGCATAACTTTCTTAGTTCATACAGTATACACATCCAGAGCCTTCAGCGCAGACTATAACAATTAGTACAGTCGGAGCATTGAAGGTGACATGAGATCGCGGCGCTAGCGAGTGCACTCGCTCCCATCCTGAGCGTCCAAGAGAATGCAAATCTGATCACGCATCAATCATGCTCTCTGCCTTGCGAGATCTCACTCAAGCTGATATGTGCAATGGAGACTGCCTCGCGTAAACTTTGCATCAAGTGACTCCACCTTATACCAAATTCACCCTCTAATCTAGTTTACATAGCTGTCTATGGATAAGTGTGATTACACTTTCGTCTAGAAAATCGACTTAGAACGTTTATAAACATCACTCTACTATGTTTTCTATATCAAACCGACACCCTTGTGATCATCATCTAACTTAGGATTGGTCGGCAGTATATCAGAAAGCGCGTTATGTATCGATATATATCCTGTGTGGCTAACTAACAAGTGAAATATTGCCCGGCCCTATGTTGAGTTTTATTAGGGAATTCATTATTCAGACCGCATCGCAGATCCCATAGAGATATCAGATCACCTACTCTACATCCCAGAACATTTCTTTACACCACACTCTTCAGATACAACAATCGTATGATTAATTATGTAGCTAAATTTCAGAATTTTACTTTTTTACTTTTGTATCAAATTATCATGGACCATGGCATTTAACTCCGATCTGAACTTCACTACGTGAGGTTCCTTGGTCCTATTTTTGAAATTTTCAGTTTGTATGGCAAATGCATATCAAGAACTATTTTATTTCAGCTCTATTTCATATTTCACAATGGAGCAGTATGAAAAATTCAGGTGTATACCAAAATTGTCATTGTTTGTAATTACTCTTGCAGATAGCTGCCTCTTTGTAATTTCGCCATGCATCAAATTTCTATCCTCTTTGTTAGTACAAATAATTTATTTAGTGCAGGGACGCCCCTGGAGGCCAGCACATATATCCATCGCAACAATTACTAAATCAAATTCGTCTAATTGCTGACCCAAATCCTGATGATCCACTCAATGGTAGCAATTGTAAGAAGAATTGATTTTTAAAATTTCAGAACTCAATTCATTTTTATTTTAAACTTATAACCAATAAATGATTACTCCGTGAGGCCTCTCTTAAGCGTGACCAAAGGAGGCAAAGTATTAGGCCTGTCGTATTCAGAAAATTGTGGTGGCCTTTTTCACTAGACAGTCAGAAATCAGTCATAATTGGCTGCTAGCCAGGTACATATACATGCTCCACATCCTAACCGTGCAGATGCCTCGACTTCATAATAAATACTTATTAAATAACCACAATTAGAATAAGATCACTCAGGCTATATTCACATGGCGCAACTGCCCTATTGAATGAGCATTTCTTTACAAAATAGGCCATTAATGACAAGAAACATTATTATTAAATAAAACTAGTTAATTAAGTTACTGACATAAACATGAGGCAGGAAAACATAAGGATGTTACATGGGATAGAATGATTAGGATAGCTACTCTTGACTAAGTCAAAACCAACAGAGAGAGTGCCCTTTCAACATCTCGCTGACTACTTTTAAAAGACACCAGTACTTTCACAACCAAACGCAATTCTATATGCATGAATACAGTCTAATAAAAACTAATATCACTGTATTTTTGATTTTGGCTCCTAGTCATCAGAAATTCAAAATACGCCAATTGGAACAGCATTGATCGTGTGAGATCAAAAAGCCAAGAAAAACAGGGACTCAGCAAATACGACAAACAGAAAATGACCTAAATCTATAGAAGGTATTATACTTCGACAGAGATAACAAATTTATGTTTATTTTGAAACAGACTGATGTTAACGATCCCCTGAGTGTTAAGAGGTAAGCTATTTTAATTATTCTCTTAAGCTGAACTAAAGGAACCGACTAATTAGCTGTGAATGATTATTAGTTAAAATGAACTAAATTTGAGTTCTCGGCCCTCCTGAATATTTCCACCCCTTTGCTGGTGCCACTGGAATAGTGTGGCACACAAGGCAAGGTGAATCCAGTGATGCTGCTGCAAAAATGAATAGAGCTATCAAAAGAAGCTTCTCAAAGAGGCCAGTTTGAAAAATTAGCAGTACCAACTACCTTTACTGAACAAAAAAAAATAGAAACTCTGGTCGGCAACCATTATTGAGTCTTACAGACTTTTTGTGACATAATCTAAACAAATGGTTGACTTTTGTTTTCTAAGATAACACAATCTCTAATCAAATTTACTCTATCACCAAGTTTCGGGAATATTATAAAATTGCATTTAGATATTTCTGAAAGTAAGACTCTTTTTAATTATAAGAGAGTGAAAGAAATAATCAAGTTGTGCATCCTTCACTCGTCTTTAAAATTGGCTTTCTTGAATACATAAATTTCTTTTTTTGTAAGTGATTCCGTTTTAACTATATTGAATTATAGTGTGTAAAGCATAACCCTGTTTATCCAGCTTTAAAATCCCCAAGCAGCTTTGTGCAAGAAATATCTATTGAGATTAAAACAGAAAAGTGGTCCCGATAAAAGCTTTTTTGCAAACACAGGATTTCGGGACCTATTACGTAATTCTATCACTTTCCATTTACGTGTTGAAAAACAACTGGTTGTTCAGAAAGGATGGTAACACTGAGTTTTGTTTATTCCATAAATACAGTATGTTCATAATCCTTATGTATGTTATTTATTTTCCAATGTTGTGCATATATTATCGAAAAATTGTCAAGGTAGTACATATTTCTTGAAGTACATATGTTGGTCCTCTGAACAACAACCACAAAACATCATTTGCCAAAACTAAAATGCTGAGTTATCATATTAAATGACCCTAAGGGGCTAGTACACGACACATTCTTCAACATAGAAAGCTTAATTTGACCAAAAAACGTCCATATTATGATGCCTTATTAGCTTTATAGCAGGCTAACTTATTCGAAGGAGTTAACCTAAGGTTTTTGACATTCCTCCTCTTAAGCGACCTAAAAACAGCTTAGTATATATTGATTTAACCACTCCTTTGTTTGCTATTACTCTATGATTGCCCCGCTCCTGGGTTCTTTTTAGGGTGCAGAAAAAGTTTGCTCGAAAAACGTATACAGAAGTAAGTTTCCACTAATTTTAACACCACGCATTGAACCAATAAAAGGATCATACCTTATGTTAAGATATCGAAGTATGAGCTTGATGCACTCAAGAGCTAGTTTCATTTTACAGATGTATTTTTGGCTTATCTACATAGACAAAACTACATACATTTGTCGCAAATTACCTCCATATACATTAAGCATATTCACAAGAATAATAAAACACGCTGATCAACTGAAACCAGAAAAATATAAACTACACGTGTCATTACCGAAAAAATATTATCTCAGAGCTGAAACTTGCAAAAATCTGCCTACTGTCAACTGACAATCTTTTCAGCAGTTGTCTGTTGGCATAAATAACTAAAAAACGCATTAATAATGTTATTCATAAATTTGCTAGCTGCCTAAACAATTATGCCTTTTCGAGATTATTACATTTATATTTATGCAGTGCTTGGGTGCTTGGATATCTTCTCTATGTCCAAAAACCAATTTTGTATCGTTACCCAGCAATTATTGGAATAAACCTTATCATTTTGAGTCTGTGTGCATTGGTTGAAAAATCCTATTAAAAGAGGACTGGATGATCTGTTAAAATCGAGAAAACAAGGAGTTGATGTACCGAAAAACATGGTGTTATTTGAGCAACTGAATGTGTAGGAGTACCGTAGTCTCGTTCATATAATAACATACATGCCCAGTTGAAATTCAACCACCGATTGACTGAAAAATTGAATTTCCAACATTCGGGAATGAAGCTTGGGACAAAAAGCACCACTGGAAACAATTCTATGAAAGGCCAATTTATTAACAGCAAGCATTCACTTTCTCAAATCTTTTCAAACAGCTTACGATTGTGTGCATTTGTTCATTATCTTATTCGAGATTAAGTCATTCTCCACGTGTACCTCAGGTACGAAAAATTCAATAGTTTCTATATTTATGTTGTACGGAAACTGAATTCATTGAAACGTTCCTATGTTTCAACTGTTCTCTTTACAATTGGTGAAAATAGCTGTAAAAAGGGCGCTTGAATTTAACTTAAAAACATCCGATGGTCTCAACACGGGCACGAGTGGCCTATATAATGAAATCCTGACGTAAAATCTTGTCACTGGCAACAACTATGAAAGACAAAGAATATTGAAAGTGTTCTTTTCAACAATTCGTAAGATTGCAAAGACCGTTTTAAGAACTTTAAAACAAGTTAAACAAAGTTTAGAATTATTCAATAAGAAAATAATAGATACTCACTAAAATATATACATGCAGATTAAGGTCGGCTCCTGGACAATCAAAGATAGTATAGAGAGAAAAATGCCCCTTGAATCATCGGGACCCATCAGTTGCTCTCT